CATTGCAGGCACTAAAGGAAGTCCCAATAAAGGGAGCTGGGAGTTCATGTGCGGGCTTCTGCTCAGGACGAGAGGTTGAGGGGAAGCATGCCAGCAGAGCTCTGTGGTGCAGGAGGGACGTGTCCTTCCTAGGGCTTCTTGGACGCTTCTCTAAGCCACAGAGTCTGGAGGCTGCCACATCCCAGGAAAAGCCCTAGCTAGGATCAGAGACACCCGTCAGAGGCCCTGAGGGTCCGTTGGAGGCTGGGACCAATGAGCCATCGGAAGCTGGCACCAAGGGAAGGGACAGACTCATGCTCTTTATGCTAGATGTCCCCTAAAGCACACGAGGGGAGAGGAAGCAGTAAGGGTGGATCTCAGACAATTTCGGGAGGGCACAGCTTTTAGTGTTATAACTGGGAGCCTCTAGTCCCCACATCCACCCTGGACCTGAAGCAGATTTCTGTTCCTAGTGGTCAGCAGGATCGTGCGTGTACACAGTGACAGCTTGCTAAACAAAGATTCTGGAAATAAGCCAGATGGCTCAGCGGGGTAGGAGGAGTTCCAGGTTCCCTGGAGGTCATGGCCGTGATCAGGGAATACAGGGGAGCATGGTTTTTCTGTGGTGGGCCAGGGCGTGGCAGTAGGGTATGCTATAGACCTGACATTTCAGGTGCTGTTATAGGTGTGACTGTGGTGTTGACCTTGTGGGTCAGGAAGTCTAAGAGTTGGCCCAGGGGTTGGTAGACATATTCACTTCTATGGAAATATGACAAAGACCCATTCCCCTGCCTCTGAGATCATTTCTACATTTGGGAGCAAGATTTCTACCACTGAAGCGAGCTGCCAGGTGCCAGCCTCATTGTTAATAGGATCACAGTATCATAGTTTCTTTTCACCGTGTTCTCTTCCTCCTCTGGTCAACCTGACTTCCAGGTTCTCCAAGTTCCACTGCTTTGGCATTAGTGGGAGATGAGACTGTCTGTCGCTCAGGAAACTGAGATTCCATAGAAGGAGCACAGTCTACATGCAGCAGACGTCAATCTTGGGACTTTATTTAATAGTGGTGCCTGGCCACTAATGCTGTTTGTCAGGCCACTGGGTTTTGTGGTTGCGCACAGACAATGGGGCATACAGACCACTCAGCCAAGGAGTCCCAGGCAGAGACAGGGGCCTCAGCCTTCTGGTGGTACAACTGTCTCGACCTCCCAGGACAAGTGCCTCGTCCCAGAGATCCAGCTTCCCTGAGCTGTGCAGCATCCTGCCTGGGAGCCATTCCCCTGGCTCCCAGGCTGTGTGTGCGCATGTGCACGCATTAATGGGGCAGGGTGAGGAGTGGGGAGGGGTTGTAGATTTTCAGGTAAGTCGTGCCGGGTAAACCCCCAAACCAAGAAGCCACACAGGTGCTGCATTATAGTGGGTTCAAGTCATTTATTTTTAGACTGTACCAGCATGTTTGGTTCTGGGATCCAATCACCAAATTCCAGAAAAATAAACTAATGAGAACCACATGCACTATGAGAAGGCCATTCCGACGTGTCCGTGATCATGCGGTGAGTGGGCGGAGAATACAGACCAGGAGCCCTGGGCATGGAGCAGGGCCTCCCTCCCCGGACAGCTGACAGCTGACAGCCCCTGGCTCTGAACCCTCATCAGGTTGGGAAGACGGCTGAGGCCAGGTCATTTGGACTCTATCCCTCTATGGCCCTGGGCCTCTTATTGCTACATTTGCTACTTTGCTACTTTAGGGCCCTTGGGTTGTGCCCAGGGAATGTCTATCACCGGGTGGTACTGATGAATAGGCTGCTGGCGTCTGCTGTTGCCATGGTTACATTAGCACAGGCCTCTCTTCAGAGGGTGCCATGGTGAGTTGTCAGGGGTTCATTTGGCCGCTGTTAGACTGTGCCATGCATGGTCCTTGCTACATACTCAACTTGGCCAGCCCCTTGGAGGCTGGTGGCATGTTACCTCCTCCACTCCAGGGCTTTCTAGCTCCTGGACCTTTCTGGAACACCTCCCTTCAATACATTTTGCAAGACCTACACACCAACAGCATACAATCCTTTCCAGCTTCTGGAAAGGTTTCCTAGTGCTGGCTTTTGAAGTCCATGCATTTGGAGCACAATGGGAGGGGTGCATTTTAGGAAAAACATCCACTTCTACAACCAGCCCAGGGGCCAGATGGGTGGCAGGCTCCCAGTTCAGTGTCCTGTCGGTGAGGTAGTTTGAATACACCAGCAATCCTGCCGGGAGAAACGCCCCCAGAGCATGTTCTCAGCTGTTCACTGGTCCAAGAAGCAACTCAGGGTGGCGAGGGTAATCTCCTGGGTGCTGCTCTGTGCCTGACCTCGGCAGTGGTGGGCCTGGAGCATGGCCAGCGACTGCACTGGGGGACCGGGCCCTGCTGGGTTCCTGGGGCACGGCGGTACCTTCCCAGAAGACCAAAGCATCACTTCCTGGAAGGGCAGAAGCCCTCTCCCCAGCCCAGAGATTCCTGCTGCGCAGGCAGGTCCTTTGGCTGCCGGTGGGCATTTATGTGTCAGCCTGCTCGCTTTACTCTTCCCATGGAGGCATATGTCCGGTGCCTGGTGTCTGTGTGTCTGTCCTGGTGGGTGGTGGTCGCTTCTGAGGCTGTCCTGATGCTTTGGCCATGGGAATGTCAACATATTTGCCCTGTGAGCCTTTAGTGGGGAGGGTTCTGGGCCCAGAGGCTGTGCCCAGTCAGGGGAGCTAAGGAAGCTTCTGGAGGCAGGGGAACATGATTTGTTGCAGAACTGCCTTCAAAAGTCTAATCTGGTCTGAAGCTTTGGCTATGCAGACCAAGCCAATGAGGACCTGGTCAAGACCAGATTTCCCAAGTGTATTTTCATTCTAGGTTCTGCGCAGTACACTGACCTTGGACTGGCCAACTTGGGCAGAGCAAGTCCGTTCCACCCTTCACTGGTAGACGTGCTCTACTAGCAGCACATGGAGGTGGTCACAGGATTGAGTGTGCCTGGTTGGGAGGTGAGGTGAGGGGGTTATTGCTCTGGGTTCAAATCCATGTTAAGTGATCTTAATGCTATTGAGCCTGCTGGCTGGCCCTCTTCTCTGGATGTCCCCAGAGGTGTTAGAAAGCTGTCAGCCTGCTCTGTCTCAAGGCTGTTGTCCAGTTGGCTTTAGGCGGGCCCTTTGGGGACCTCCGGGATGGGCCAGGTCTCAGGCCAGCTTTACTCAGGAACAGCAGCCAGGAGGAAGGGACAGGGCTGGGGGATGCCAGCCCTGTCCTGTCTGCAGCTATGGGGGAGAGCAGGAGGCATCTGGGCCCTTGCCCTGGATAATGGATGGCAGAGAGGCCCCTGCTATTCTGGAACTTCCTTTGTCCACGTACCCTACGCCTCGAAGTCAGCATAGCCTGGGGACCCTTAGCAGAGAGGAGCTCCCTCTGGGCCATGTTGGGTGTGGAGGAACTTTAGCTGCAATTTGGTTCTGAAACAGGAGGTCTGTGCGAAACAAGACAAAAAAAGGGGGGAAGGAGGAGAGGAGGGCTCAAAAGACCCCGTAACATGGGGGCAGAACTTCATTTTAGTCATTATCTCATGCCCACCAGGTGCCAGGCTCTGAGCTGAGGTTGTGTGGAATCAGGGTCTACAACGCCACCTTTGGAGACACTCTGAGGACTCAGCATGTGTCATCCTAGTTTGTCCTTCGCAGAGGGAGCAACGATTGCCAGTGGGGGAAACCAAGGCATGGTGGTCAAGAGCCCACGAGGGTATGACCTTAACCAAGACTTCTAAAGCCCACAGTGGCTCCGCTGTGATGATAGAAAGGCTGGGGCCCTGGGGACAGGGCTCGGTAGCGTCAGACCTGCCACATGGCTTAGGGGTGGGGGCTGGAAAGGCGCTCATGGGAGCAGCCCAGAGGCAGGGTCTGCAATGAGCACATGTGCCTCTGGTCGCCAGTGGTGAATTTGCCTACAGGAGTGAAGAAATACCAGTGATCGATTTTTTGCTTCTGTGTTTGCTGTTTATATGCTCCCCAGGGAGATTTCTCACCTATGGCCAAAAATAGATCAAAGGAGGATAGTCATGGCAGGTGGGGAGTATCTGAATTCAAAACCACGTTGTTTAACACTACTCTGTCCGTGGGCTCCTGGGAGTCATATGGTGATGACAATGATGAGAGCAATGGCTACCATTTGCTAAGCACCTACTATGCATCGGGCACCTGACTCAGTGCTCTACATACATCACCTCACAGACCAGTTGGCAGGTGGGCATTTGGACACACACCCAAAGGGAGTGTAGTGGATCTTTTGCAGGTTTTTGCAGGTGTTGCTTTCTGTCTGCTTTTCCCCTGGATGCCTGGCATTGCTTAGTGGGTGCCTTTGCTGGGCCATCAGAGGTCTCTCTGGCCTTGGCCTAGGCCCTCTGTGGCAGATTCTCTTCCTGGCCCAGCAGGAGCCTGGCCATGCCCATCCTGTGGGGGCTGCCGGCCCTGTGATCCCGCACCCCCCCTGCTGGGAACCCTCCCAGCTTCCACCTGGGGCTGCTGGAGGAGAGGATCCCAAGGGCCCCTGAGTTCATGGCCATGTTTATTTTGAGTAAAACATGAGGGAACAAACCAAGGAGAAGGGGCAAAAACAACAAATTATGAAATCATGAATTTTTAAAGAGATGGTCAGAATCGGTTAAACCACGAGCTCTTTCATCTACTCTGGTGTTTCTTCTGGTGTTGGACCCTGGAGACATTTGCCAGGAGCAGAGGGCAGCGGCACGCCTGTGGAGACCTTGTCATGAGTCTGCTGATGGACAAATTGAGGGGCCGTGGGCATATCTAACGGGGTTGAAAGAACTTGCAGGGCAGCTAACCCCGAGGCTGCTCAGTGCTGAGGACAACGTGATTGGGATGGGCTGCGTGAGGGCAGGTGGCCACAAAGATGGGGGAGGCAGGAGGCAATGGGGACACAGTGGCTATAACTGTGGTGGGTGCTATGGGTGCACCAGAGAGACAGTGGGGGAGGGGGCGAAACACAGGCTGTGCTCAGGGCCAGCTGGTCCTTCTTGTGTTTGCTGGATGGCATCATCCCCCATACAGCGGGAGGAGTGATGATGAGAATATATCTCAAGTGACAGTCACAACACCCTACAAGATGTTCTCCCCTGAATGAGTTAGGGACGAGGACCTCTTAGAAAATGGGGTTTCGGCGCACAACTGTACAAGCACGGGAGGGTTGTAAACAGGGGCCTCTACTGGGCCGACCCCCGGCTCTGTGGCCTTTCTCTCAGGTCCCCCCATTCACCCACTGGGTCTCCCTGTGGTCGCCCTCTAGCGCCCTCACTCTTTCTCTTTCACAGTGACCGAATCTCCCCGTAAGGACACTCTGTCCACGGATGTGGAGCGCCGCCTCCTGCCCTCGTGGTCCTCGGGCCCCGGCCCCGGGCCTGCGGTGGGAACCGTCAGGAGGACTGCATCAGTCCCGTGAGGCGCTTGCCCGCCAGCGACTTTCCCTGCAGAGACAGGTGACAGAGAGGCACACACAGGTGCACAAACACACACAGAGGGACAGAGACAGAGAACCAGGTAAGTGATTAATTGTTGCATGAGCCATGGAGGCCAAATGACTTAGCAAACTGACCCCTTTGATCTCTGGGTTTGGGACTGCAAATTGGAGACAGTTGGAACAACCCAGAGTCTGGGGCAGGTTAGGGAGGGAGGGTGGGTGGCTTGTACTCTTTTGGGAGTGTGAGAATTTTACTCACCTCACACCAGGCATTTCAGCTCTCAGGTAGAGCGTCTCTTAATGCCTGTGGGCTGTCCCTGAACTCGATTTTATTCAAGCGAGGAAGGAAAAGGTGGTTTGGGAGTAGCAAGATCAGAGAGGGTGGGCTGACCCAAATAGATGCTGGCTAAGCATCTGGGTGATGAGACGCGAATGAATGAACTAGCAGAAGACCTGGGAATCCTGTTTGATACACAGGAGAGACGCTCAGGCTTCAGGTCCTCTTGATGACCCGGTTCTAGACAATGAAAGTGGGATTTGCCGAGGGTCAGGCGAACAGGCGCCACCACCGTGGGCCCCGGACAGTGCGCTCCTGCCATCGCCTACCCTCTCGGCTCTCGCTCTGCGGCGCCGGGGGCCCCCACCTCAGGAATGCTACACGCCCTTCCCTTCCCGCCCAGGCAGCAGGTCTTCCTGAGAAGTAAGACAATGGCCTGGACTGCGAGGTCCCGTGTGTGAGGGACAGAGGGCCTGAGAGAGGCCAACTGTTCACGTGCCTGGGAGGAGGTAACTGCGTCCATTTCCCAGTCCCCTGTTCAGAAATCCACAGCATCGGACAGGGAGGGGCCAGCGGGGAGGGTGGCGGGGTCGCTGTGTCTGAGAAAACACTCAGAGCCCATCCCGTTACTGACAGGGGGTCAGCGACACCCCTGCCATCCGCAAAGGGCAGCGTGCGGTGGCTCGGCAGCGCGGGCGGCCGTGTTTACAAGGGCCAGCAGTTCCTCATGTTCATTTCCAAGTGGGGTGTGCGGCCTCAGCTTGTTTACTGGGCTTGGCTGCGCGTAAGCTGGATGTAATTAAAAAAATTGATCAGGCCTGTGAAGCCTGGTGGGGTACTCAATAAACCTGCTGATTGATGAATTGATGGATAATGGGCATATCTAACACACGGACGACATGGGCTGTGACTTTGCTGGATGCAGGACAGTGTGTCATCTGGCTTAGCGCTCCGTGGAGGGACGTGGCAGCCTGACTCCGAGAATTCTGATGGCGTGGATGGGAGCTCGTCCAGACCCGGAGCTGCTCTCAGGAGCGGTCGGGACGCCTGCGTCTTCCTGCTCCTGTTCTTTTCCCCCCTTTCTTTCTTTTTTCCACCTCGTCATTTTCTTTCACTCCTTGTTTTCACGAGTAAGACAAGCTTCACTTTTTTCTCCCCACCTTAAAACACACACACACACACACACACACACACAACGCCCCTTCACCAACCTCATCCAAATCTCCAAATATACTAAACTTAGCCTGTGGCAGGATACATTTATACTAAACTGAGGAATTTTAAATCAAATTAAAATCCTAGAGGGTGGCAGCGCCAGTCTTTGCCAATCACGAAAGGCTGGGCAGCTACTCCCCCATGGAGCATGGGCTGGGTGCCTCGGGAGCTCACAGGAGGCAGAGGCTGACCTTCAAGGGCTCCCCCAGCCCTGATTCTCAGGCACACTCGGCTGGCACTGTCCTTGACTGCCCTTTCTTAGATGGCGCTCCAGGCATTTGTCATTCAGTGGGTTCACCTGGGACTGTGCCTTCTCAAAGCAGGCCTGAAGGCAGAAAGCACGGCTGTGTGTGTGTGTGTGTGTGTGTGTGTGTGTGTGCACTGCGGGGGTCCTCTCTGGGGAAACGTGGTGCTGATGAGTCTAGGGACCCCGCGGCTGAGAGCTCTGACAAACCTCTGCCACCCCACTTGCCCGTGTCCATCCCAGCTCAGAGGAGAGGCACCAAGGACTTTTGCTTTCCCCTTGGTGCTCCTCGTCGCGGCGGTAGCCACACACGAAACACCAGCTCCCCTTCCCCGCGAACCACCACCCCTCCTCCCCCAGGCCCACAAATTACACATTATGTCTCCAAATACATAGATTCCAGTCTTGCCATCCACAGCATTTGGGGCTCTGATTTAGCTGGTGAATGTGAAAAAAAATCACTAAAGCTTCTGCGTAACAGTCTGTCCAATGGTATGTTAAAAGCCCAGAGACAAAGAAGGTGAGGCTTACCAGGCATCCAAGCCCTCATTACAGCTTCTTCCTCATTAGTGAGGTCATTTGGGCTGGAGAGGGGGCTGTGGGGTGAGGGAGACTGGAGGCTCCATTTCTGGAGATTTGTGTGACTATGTGTTTCAGCTGAATTTGACCCTGAGGTTCCTCCATCCTCCATACCTCCCAGGTCTATAGAGTGGGCTGGGCTTGAAGGCTCTAATTAATCTCTTCCTGCCTAGATCCTGGAGCTCAGCCTCACTGCCTTGGCTCAGAGGAGGACCAGCGGCCAGCCCCTCCCCTCCCCTCAGCTGCTTCTATTTCTCCAGACTTCAGGGGTAGGGGCAGGGGCAGGGGCTGCTGATGACCAGCCCAGAGAACAGGCCCTGAGGTTGTTCCACCCTCTCAGCAGTGCAGGTGGTGCGCTTTGGCATTTCTCTCTGCTTTTCCCCACTCCTGTGCTCACACATTTACCAAATGCCAGTTGCTACTAAAGAAGGTCGTGAGGGTTCGGTGGGCTGGTGATGGTGGTGGTGGGGCTCTGTTCAGCTCAGCTGCAATCTGTCTTCTGTGCAGTGACCTCCCGGGTGAGGCTGGAAGGCGGTTACTCATGCAGGACGCAGGCAGGACTAGATGCCTGGCCTCGGGCTTTGGGGAAGAAATCCTGCAATCACTCTGGCTCAGCAGCTGCCGCCCTTCTGAAGAGCTGAGATTCCTGTGGTTTCCAGGGATCAGAGTGCGATCAGATAGCAGAGGCTACCTCTGTTCAGAGAAGAGCAGCTCCCAGGTCTCTGCTGCCAGGGGCTTGCTGGGAGCCCCTGAGCTAGCTGTCCTGCCCAGAGAGAACTCCTGCCCACGTCCTCTACGGCTCTCCCTCCTCTTCCCCTCTCTCTGCCTCCAGTTTATGTGATTCTGTAGGAAACACCTAGCAAGGGAAGGCGTAATTCTGCCTCTGCCTCTGCCTGCCATCTAGTACAGTTACAGGGGAAGCTGTTTTTTCAGCGTCTGGGTGTGTGACGATCCCCAGTGCTGGTCAGGTGGGAACCGACCGTGGTGCCAGGGAGCTGCAGCTGGCTCAGACTGAGGCCTTGGCTTGGCTAAGTGAAGCAGCTGAGGGTGGTGGAAAGTGCTGTTAGCAGGCAGCCTTTGTCCAAGTGAAAAAATATACGGTGACTGAGGACTGAGCTACAGAAGGTACATTCCAGGGACATCAAAGCTTTGCCTACAGACAAAGCGCTTTTCACCTTCGAGAACTTTGGCCAAGTTTAATCCAATGGAATCTGGGATCCTTCCTGTCATGGACCCCAGGCTCAGGGCTGGGCTCACAAACACTCACACGTTCCATTCCCACCCTGGCTAATCGTTTTAGCTCTGTGGCCATTCTTGACGGCTAGAAGCCTGTAAGAAGGTGGTCACAGAATCCTTTGTTTCTAAAAGGAAAGGCACAAAAGGAATAGCTCCCTTTTGGGCAGTGCTTTAAGGAAAATCACCATGCTGATCGACATGCTGTGGCTCTGTGCATTGCACCTGCAGATACTAATCAACAAACATGCACCATCCGGGTTACCAAGCCCTGCCGTCACTTACCTGGTAGGAGACTGGAGATGCTACACTGTTTGGCCAGGAGAGGACCGTGGCTCAGAGTAGCCCTGGGGTCAGATGGCACATTGGGGGCAGCGCAGCCAAGCCCTAATGGCTCAGGCGGGACCCTTTTCAACGCTAAGAGGGGTAAAGACATCTGAGCTGCTGATGAGAGTCTCTTGCTGATTTGCCCAGATGACCTAAGACCGGGGTCACAAACCTCAGGCCCCCCAAGGCTACATCCTCGCTGCTATGGGATGGGAATTTCCCCGCTGGGGGCAGCTCCCTCTGGGGGAGAGGGGCAAATGGACTGGAGTAGGGCGTGCATGGTGGGGTGTGGGTTCCACTGGTGCATACATTCGTCAGATTCATTGAACAGTATATTTCAGATGTGTTCATTTGGCTACATGTAGTTACACTTCAAAAGAAAAAAATTAGAAAAAAATCCTAGTTATCATATTTAGCTCTGAAATTCCCCACTTCTTACTTCCTCAGTTGCCACCCCTGCTGCCTTTTAGAGGAAGTCAGCTCTCCCGCCCCAGCACAGGGGAAACCTAGGCTCTCCTGTCGGAGGAGCTAGAATTCGCAACCGAGTGCCTACAGAACGCCATTTCTAGTCTCCATGGACTCAAACCAGCCACCGTGCTCCCACGCACAGGCATTTTCATCCTTGCTGGTGAAAAGTGCTGTGTTGCTGAGCAGGGCTCCTGGAGTGACCCCAGCGGACAAGAAGGGGGAGGCCCCAGAGAGGAGCCGTCCTCCTAAGGAAAATGGAGGAGGTGACATCTAGGAGTAGATGACACTCCAGTTCGTAAGTGATGAGTATGCGTAGAATCACAGTGCTGGGGAACTTGCTGAGAAGAGCAGTCGGGAGCCTGAGAGCCCGGTGGAAAGGCGAGGGCCCGCCCCCCACCCCCCCCACCGTGGGTTTGGCAGGAGGAGGGGAAGCCAAGGACCCGTCTAACATCCTCGGGTGACTTTCCTGCAGGCTGGTGCCCCTGGTGCCCCTTCTCCACTGAAGAAAGCAAAGGGAATGATTTCAAGAGGGAGCATAAGGAATTCTGTGGCATCTCCTTTCTCCATGTTGTTTAAAGTGGGGGAAAGAGTGCCACTTGCTTGGGATAGTTTAGAGGTGTGAGCAACTCTGGCAGGGGATGGCAGAAAAGTCCAGCCCTATGGTAGAAAAATACTTAATGTAGACTACTTTCAAAAAACTTTTCAACTCGACCTGTAGTCATCCTCTATTGAATTCTGGGAGGCAGGGTGGGCAGATGAAACGGGAAGACCTGCTCTGGGCCGAGCGTTGCTGACCCACAGCAGCGGGGCGGAGCAGCACCGGGAGGGGCGTGGCTGTCCCTGGCTTTCTGACCCTTCAGCCGGGAGGGGCAGGAGCCCAGCGGCCGGATCCGCTCTTGGGGTCTGTGTTACTCCGGGGTCCTTGCCCAGCTTTCTGATCTCTCTCGGGAGCTAAAGGGCATTTTATCTGATTTTAAAATATTCTCTTTATTTGACTCTTTAAAAGTAAGATACCACATACATAAAACAACACCCAAATTAAAAAAAAAATCAAGAAATAGGTGAAAATGAAATTAATAAAAAAGTTCACTGGTTGAAGAATTAATATATAATTCGTGTATATTGAAGGTTGTTAAAAAACTTCACTGGTTGAAGAATATATAATTTGTGTATATTTAAGCTTGTTAAAAATAATTCTTATTCTGTATTCTTTTGCAACACTCACCACCTTGTGTAAGGCACAGTGTTACAAACAAGCAGGCTTTCCCATTCTGTGGAACCTGCCAGGAGTCTCATCCTCTGGAAGCGATTCTCACAGAGCGTCACTGCACCTGCAGCAGGTCCGGACTCCTTCCTCTGGCCTGCATTGTCAACTATCAATACTTGTTTTCTTTTAAAATTTTTTACTTTACAAAAGGTGAGTTGCCAGTCCTCCCGTCTGAACTAACTTTGAAAGGACCGGCCTATCCCCCGGTCTCCCAGGGGCTCGCTCTTTGAATTTCCGATCCCTGCCCAGTGGGGTGGCCTCGATGTCCCCTGGACCTCCTTCCCAAGTGCCCTCCACTTCAGCTCACCCAGACCTTGGTGGGGGCAGGGTGGGGATGGTCTCATTACCGGGGACACAGGTTGGTGCTGAGGACAGTTACCGACAGTCGCCCTTGATTGAACATGGGGCAGCTGTTGTGTGTCAAGCAGGCTAGACATTTCACAGACACTTGCCACTTAGGTGTTACATCGTCCCCCGCACTGGGCGGATGAGGACACAGGCTCAAGGAGAGCTTGAGCCACTGGCCTGAGAGCACACAGCTAGTCAGAGGCAGAGCTGAGTGGGTCGGCCTTCATGGCTCAAAGCCTCCTCCTTTGTTCTTGGCCACCACTCTCAAACGAGGAGGCAGACGGCCCTGACCGGTGTGGCTCCGTGGGTTGGGCGGCATCCCGCAAAATGAAAGCTTGCCCGTTCGACTTGCCATCAGGGCACATGCCTGGGTTGCGGGCCAGGTCCCCAGTAGGGGGCATGTGAGACAACTGACTGATGTTTCTCTCCCTCTCTTTCTCCCTCCCTTCCACTCTCTTTAAAAATAAATAAATAAAATCTTTTATAAAAGGAGGCAGCTGAAAACACTCAAGGACTAAGGACACCTCCATGTCCACCCACACCACACCAGTGGTGTCTGCAGGACAGGCCAGGCGAAGCCACCACTTGTGTCTGGGGCCCTGTGTTGTAGGTGCCAATGCCTCTGGGACCTCCATAGCAACCGTTCCAGGGAGGAGAGAAGCAGGTTCGATGTTTACCTTTCAAAGGGGGGGCAGGCAGAGCTGCTTTACCCCAGTAAGAACCCAGTGCCTAAACTGGGGTGTTGCAGCTCAGCTTAGGGGAACCCTCCCTGGGTGCTACTCCTGGCCTCTCTGCCTCCTGCCATACCCATCACTCACAAGGCTCTCTGAGAAGGCCAGCCGCTGCCTGTTACTTCTGACGGGTGGTGGGGGACCTTCCTGCATGGCCTCCAGCAGTGCAGGGACAAATCTGGCACCAGGCGGGCATGCCAGGAGTGACTGAGGCTCAGCAGCTGTGCCCCGCCCTGGTGGCACAATGCCCAGACGCAGACACCCTGGCCTCCTTTCCCAGTTTTACATTCCCACTTTCCTGCCTTATTCTCATTGTGCAGGAGAAATGCCCCCCTTTTACGACTGGCCCCCTCCTGTCTCCTTCCTCTAGTTCTGACCGAACAAGGCAGGCGCTCTTTCTACGCTCAGCTTGCAGGAGTCCTTGTTGGACTCCAGAGCGGAGCGGCGCTGGGCCATCTGCTCGCACGTCCCCTCAGTAGCCTGCCTTCTGGTAGCCTGTGCAAGGCCCGACTCTTTTTCGCCTCCTCCTCTCCAAATGGACTTTGGCATCTCAGCTCTGGTTCACTCCAAATTAGGCAAAGGTCAAAACACACAAGGAAACAGGGACATGGCTGTGTTGCTATTGGCAACAACCTGATGCTACTTTCTTCCAACTAGGAAGTTCAAGTGACCTCTGACGATGGCTACAGGGGCGAGTGCCGCTGAAGTTTGGTGGACAAGACAGTGGGAGGAATAGCTTGCTTGGCGGCGAGTGATTCTCCTGAGGACCCACAGCGACTCTAGACCCATGCTCCGCAGGGCACTTCTCATCTCCTGCAGACACAGTCACTCCCAACATGCCCATTGGCGGGGCACTTTGGTTAAGCCAGCTGCCAAGGCAGAACATTGGAGACACGGGCTGTCAACATGCTGACCACCCCCACCACCCAGATGCATAATCTCTCCATGAAAGTCCACGTCCCTTTGGACACACACGGAAAGAGGGCCGGCTCACTTCCCTTTCCTCTCTCCCACCAGGAATGCAGCTCGGCAGGCAATAATCAGACATGTTTTCTAACCTGAGAAAGGGAAGCAGGGGACAGGTCAAGCTCTCTGGATAGAAACCTGGGCTGATGGAGTTCCTGGCCACAGGGAACCTTCTTATCTACTTACAGATCCTTTCCATGTGCCATTGCAATGCTTTTGGTCCCTGTGGGACAGTGCATGGGTGGCTTGCCAGCCTTGTCCCCTATGGAGGGGTAGGCAGAGCTGCCTGAATCCTCTTAGAACAGACTACCCAGACTTAGATGGCCACGTTTCCCGCAGGACGGGGCTGTGGGCCACGGAGCAAGCGTTACAGACGCTGCATCAGGAGATGAAGCCTGAGCCTGCTGCCGCTGGGTTTAAAAGCTCTGTCAGATGTGGTGGGCATTTCTGTCCTGTTCTGCTAGGGGTCCGGGAGAAGTGAGTTAAAGGATCAATACCTAATGACATTATTTGTGCATTGTCTCTGGGACAAGGGGCCTAGTGTCATTGCTGGACCCCTCCGCTCCTTGTTTCTTAGGAAGAAACTACTGTGGGTGCAGAAAATGGGCAGGAGAAATGCAGACACCAGACAATGGGTACCTCCTGCCGTCCATGGGAGGAGGGTGTGAAAACAGGAGTGGAGGGCAGAGGCGAGGCCACGGACAAACAGATCATCTCTTCGGAATTCTGGAGCACCTTCTGTGCAGAAGGGTCCCAAGGAAGGTTAGAGAGTGCGGACGCCGGGGTCACTCACCCACTGCTGGAAGGAAGCCACCTCGGGGGTGAAATGCAGCGGCCATTCTGACTCTGCGCCAGCAGCACTAGGCAATTGTGTTTTTAGGAAGGGAAGTGAAGAATAACTTATCCAGCTGAAACCATGAAGACCTGTGGCTTTGGGGGAGCCCCTGCCCAGACACGCACAGGGCCGCGGCAGGCATGCGATCCATGCATGGGGGACATGCGGGTCTGCAGCGCATGCCACACACGTACCGTACACTGAACACGGAGGCGTCTATCTGGCAGGCAGCACAGGCACCCATGTGTGCAGCGGTGCACACGTCCATGTGCACGTTTACACCACAGCCGTGGACGTCAGCATCTCATGCAAGGTGCATAAGCAACCACATCGTGATTGGCTGTAGAGCTTTAACATCAGGCTCCTAAGGTGCCAATCTATGACAAACACTGTGACCTTAAAGCATTTACCTTAAGATACATATATAAACACTGAATTTTCCCCAGGAAAAAGCCATTTGTGTCCGTGGAAATGACCTCTCAGCTTGTTTCTGTCAATACTACAAGCAGTAGGAGCGTGCACCCCAGGGGTCTGGCTTACTAAGATCTCAGAGTATCCTTCGCCACCTGCTCCTGGCTCCACCAGCAGCCCCACCTGGTAGTGCGTGGTTAAAGACAGAAGCCTTTGTCTCTCTGGCAGATGGAGCCAGTGAGGGGCTTGGTGAGGCCGTATCGCTCATGGTGGTTCCAGGCAGGCAGACAGCGCACAAGGAGATGGTCTCCAGGAGCGAGGCTTCTGCAGTGCTGAGCGCTGCCTCCGGAGGATTGGATTTCATGCTCCTGTCATGCGGAGAACTACTTCTGATCTGTGTCTGGAAGCTGGAGGTGTCTTAGGGTCCTGAAACTCAGTGGGGGGCACATGCCCAGTCCTGACCATGTCCGCCACGTTCCCAGTCACTCTCGCCACCTCCTGCCACAACACAGCTATGAGCCCCACAGCGCCCACAGCTTCTAGGGCGCCCGTGGAATTGACCACAGGGCAGAAGCTGGCCTGCTGGGCTCCACAGTCCCTCTGCTCCCAGGGAAAGCAGAGAAACTGGCTCTCTGGGTCCACCTTAAAAATAAGCCAACCTTAACAATAACAGCCAGGATTTAGTGACTAGGTCATCGAGCACTTCACCGTGATAAACAAATGTGCTTTGTACACATTGTCATATACGAGATACCCACCTACCCATCCTTAACTACAAAGTAAATATAACGATACCTACCTTGCAGAATATTGTTGGAAATTAAATAAGGTAATAAGAGCAAAGCATGGGCTGCAGATAACCATAATAATGAAAATAACAATACGAAGAACTATGCTGGCACGCACACACTGCAAACAGTGCTAAGCACCGTATGTTTTCCCCCTTTAATCATTTACCCTCAGCTCTCCTCTACAGCAGAGACAACTGAGCTGCCGAAGTCACCCAGACAAGTGGCAGGGCTGGAGGAGAGCTGAAGTTCCTCTCAGGCAGCGCCCAGCACGATGCAGACCCCCACAGCATAAGATGACGAGCCCTGAAGAAATGGAAGCCACTGCTGCCACGCCCTCAGTTAATGCCAATGCCGCTCGGTGCAGGACGCTTCATTATACCCATCGGGCAAGGGAGCGACTTGCCACGGCCTTACTCCGATCCCAGGTGGAGAAATAGTTTTCAACTGGGGCTGCCTGTCTAAGTCAGCTCGCTGCCCGACACTCTAGTGGGCGCGAAAGGGACGCTACTTGCAGTGGGCAAAGCCAGTAGCTCATCTTCCGTAGGGGATGAGAATGCCGTTGGGGGAAAAGGTTGCTGCCAGGTTTTTGACATTTAACCCCAGCTGGTTGGTGGTGCTCAGTCATGCTCCACGTGGCTGGCTACTGACAGATTTAGGGAAGTCTGGGTGGCTCGCGGCAGGCAGCCAAGGTGGCCAGTCAGAGCCTCACTAAACGGACTCCTGCTGGGCCAAGAGGTGCCTCTACACCTCGCTGTGCATCACCATGGGGCCCTGGGCAGGACGGAGAGGAAGGGGATCCTAACACCAAACCTGAGCGAAGCAGCTGAAGGGCAGTGTGGGGCTCCCTGATGGCCTCCACCCCACCTGCAGCTCTTCCCGGTGATCAGGAAAGCTGTGACTGAGGGCTTGCAAACGACGGGCTCTGCAGCTGTGCCGTTCGTGGCCCAGGAAACCTCCCTCCGGCACCTCCCCACTGGTTCTGCTGCTGCTCACAGGTTGCGCTGCATGTTTCATTCGCTGCTCCATCTCCATCTCCCAGCCAAATCTGCAGTGATGGAAAGGCCCGGCCCTCGATCCTCGCTTGATGGTCTGTCTTTTCCCACTAGGCACCGGGGCTCAGAGGCACCACGCTCTTGGTGCCAATGAGAAGGGCCAGGCAGGGGAGGGTGAAAAAGGTTCTTCGACACTGTGAAAAAGTACGGGCATCCCCTGGATGCCCAAACCTCTCTCCCTGCTACCTCTTACACCCAGGCACCAATCGTGCCCGACAGAGTTTTAAAGGCGTGTTTGAGAAAATACAGTAACAATAAACTCTGGGTTTTCTTTAGCTTTCAAAAATGTCTTATTAAAACTTTACTGGGATCACCACGTTTAATGAGAGGCCTCAAAGAATTTGAAAGCAAAAGATGAGGAGAGGAAAAAGCCGTCAGCTATAATCACCATAATTATACAACCCCATGACGAGCTGAAGCAGCCCTGGCTAAGCCGGAGAGAGGGGAGAGAGTTTTGAGTCGGGCTGATCCTCAGGACAGCTGGGAAGAGCATGAGTCTGGCGAGCACCTCCCTTGCCCTGAGTTGGGCTGAAGGCGAGTCCTCAAGGCAGGGCCCAGGAGGAGGGGCCCCAAGAGGGCAGTCCCCGCCCCCCCTTCCCGTCTAAGGCCTCTGGGGGTGTGTTCTGCTCCCGGCCAGGAGAGATGCTTTGGGTGGCAACTTGACGACCTGAAGTCTGCAGCTGCCTTTGTCATCTTTCCTGCTTTCAACAAAACACCTTTTCCGGATGGGAATAACGACAGGCCAAGCTTTTCCCAGTGCAGGGCCAGGGCGCCCATTGCCCACGGCCACCCCAGCGGGGCTCAGCCTCCCAGTGCCAGCAGGCGCCTCTGCACTCTGCTCACTGACCTCCCTTCAGGCATTCGGGGGAGAGCCCTGCTGTTAGAGCTCAGCTGCTACAGCAGCAATTGGTTAAAACAAAAAAAAAGGTGAAACACAAGAAACCTCCAAAAGGCAAGGATGACATGTGAAGGCAGTAATTCCACTCCTTGACAGCTTCCCTGGCTTTGAGTGTGTCATCATTGGGCTGCTTCACCCTCAAGGCAGTGTCTAATCTGACTCTCAGATCCCTCCAGTCTCCGCACATTCCCTCCACATGACCCATCCCTCTTTTCCACAGCGTATGTACAAACCACGGAATAAAAGGCAGCGGGGCTCCATTTAACAGACACTGAATGCATCAGAGGACTCCAGTTGGAAGAGATGATGGAATCCAACGCAGAAAACTACCCTGCGATATCCTCAGGCCACGCAGCTCCTGAGTGTTCCCAAGGAGCGAGCGCCCTGTTCCTTGCGGCGACAACGTCCACCTCTGGGAAGTTGCTGCTGTTAGACTACGCTTCAGTAGAAAGACCCTCCCCACATCTTCTCCGCACTGGTTCTGGCTCTGTCTGGAGCAATCCAGAAATGTGCACTCACCTTGGAAGACAAACAAGTATATCTCATGATGGCTATTGGGTCTCCTTAGGAGTTCAACGTCTTTATCTACTTCATTCTTAGCTGACACGGCTTCCAGCCGCCCCAGGTATCCCTTCCAAATTTTCTCTGGGTGGTTCAAGTTCCTGATAAAGTGTGGGGGCTTAGACCCGAGACTCAACACGGTCCAGAACAACACAGACAGCAGGGCCATGCCTCTCTGTCTTCTGACCATGTCACCTGTGTCACCGCAGCCTAACGTTGCTTAAAAAAAAATGATCGCCTCCTGCTTTTGCTTAAGCTTGTAGCTGACTACGACCCCAGAAACTTGAATGAAAGTCAAGGATCCAAATGCCATCCTGTAGTTGTGAGGCTGGATTTTTTAAACATAAGTTTTATCTGGTTCAATTTTATCCACTTGTTTTTGGCCCATCATCCCACCCAAAGGAAATACTTTTCAAATACAGTTTCATTATCTACCAAGTGAGCAACACCTCTCAAGTCTGGGTCTTTGAATACGATCGGCCTGCCTGTCTCTCCGTCCCAGTCGTGGGACAGGAGGTTGGACAGGACAGGGCTGTGGCGGGACCCTTGTGGCCACAACCAGAAATGGTCTTTCCCATTGACATACAGCTATGGGTCTGCCCTCTTACCAGCCATTCAGACACTGTGGGTATATTGTTTTACCTAATTATGGCCAACATAGAGGGAGCAAAGGTGAGGGGAGGGGGGCGGAAGTGGACATCAGTTTCGACCTTCCTGCACTAACATCAGGTCACAGACAAGTGTTCCCTGGAGCAGAGGATGTAGTCATGATAGTCATCCTTGTGCGGTAAGCTGAAAGGAGGGTGTGGAAAGTTCTTGCCAAATCTGACACCAACAAGGCCCATTCCTGTTTGGGGCTGTGGCACCGTTGCTCAGGACAGAATGACTGGACCGAGGCCAGGAGCCATGGCAGAACCACTGCCATTCAGCCCTGCCCCTGCAGGGGTGACCACACACTCCCAACCCTGCCCACCTTCCCATCCGTCACGGAACCGCTGAACAAACACCGAAGGGCCTCCCTCTCATGGCCTTCAGTGACATCACTAACCTGAAAACCCCGCTCTCTGAGCTCTTGTCATTGTCCCTTGCACCACTCTGCCTCACAGCAACACTCGCAGATTGCTCCTACCCCAGGAGGGCAACCGTGCTTCCCAAACTCGCTTACAACCGGATTCTCATTTGCTGCCTAGAGGGGATAAGGCTCCGAGTGGTTTTCACCAGGAGCTTATTGTGGGGAGGATGCTGGGGCGGTCTCACTTCTCAGCCTTTGAAGTCCTTTGACCTTGAGCTCTCTGACTTCTAACTTTCCAGT